CCTAGGACTTTGTCACCCCACTGTTATCACTGCTTTCTGTTACGTTAAGTGTTACAAGGGCTCTCGCAACAGCAGGTTTTCAAAATATTTATTTTCTTATCTCTGAGTAGAAGATCTCTTCTTCCTCTTCTTGTGGTGGTGGAGTTAATGGGTTGTTAGTCTGATTAAAAGCTCAAAGTTTCCCTGCAAGGAAATGGAGCAGTGCCTTCTCTGTGGGTTTCACTGGAGGCACGAGCTCAGACTCCAGTTTTAAGGCTTGAGAGTAGAGAGCATGAATGGACGAATAACACACGTGGAGCTGAAGCTGTGATGGTTTACATCAGTGTCAGCAGCTCTGAAGGACTGTGTTAATTGGACGAGAGACTGCTTATACAGTGCTGTTGTTTGAAAGCAATGGGCTGAGTGCAGTGTGTTAGCACAAGGCTGTGCTGTTACTCCCCAACGTGGTCAGAACTGGTGTTGGGATGGGCAGGGTGAAACATAGGCTGTGGGTCTATGTCTACTTCTATAAATAAATACATAAAAATAGGTATTTCTATACTGTTGTGATTCATTTGCACTCTTTAAGAGTATTGCTCACAGAACGGCATAGCTGCAGTTCCTTAGGGAATCCTTGCAAAATCTGAATGCTTATATGTAGACTTCTAGCTTTACCCATCAACATCCAGCATCATTCCTGTGAGATGAGTGTTGTGGGTGAGTCACTGAGTCATTCTGAAGAGACTTGTGGGACTGTTGTTTCAGGAAGTATTTACTGGGCAGGGGCTCAGGCAGTTGCTTTCTGTTTAGCTGTACCCCTGGAGCTGCTGGCACACTCCTGGCTCCTGAGGTGGCTGCTGAGATCTGGGCTGCCACAACAGAAATGAAGATAATGAGCGGAAGCAGTTTTGAAGTTTCAGATTCCAGGCTGTGTGTTTCAGTTTTCACTCCTCAGTGCTGCTATGAATGCATCTTTTCCACCCTGAGCTGAACTGATAGGATCGTCTGGCCTATTGTGTTCTGATGGAAGATCTGCTGGTAGGAAACAGCTGTGTGCTTTTTTTTCCAGTCTTTTGGGTCTCTCCCTTCCATCCTCCACAAGTTCTCAGAATGTTTCCAGCAAGTCTTAAACCCTCATGTTTTGGAATTGAAAATCACAGCATTGTTCAGGCTGGAAAAGCCCTCTTAGATTCATAAGGCCAACCCCAGCCCACCTCACCATGCCCACTGCCCACATCCCTCAGTGCCACATCCCCATGGTCCTGGAACACCCCCAGAGATGGTGACTCCCCCCCACTTTCTGGGTAGCTGTGCCACTGCATCACTGCTCTTTCTTAGGATATGTATTTCTTGATATCCTATGTGAATGCCTGTGACTTTATGCTTAAAACACTTTAGGTCTGTTTCTTTAATCTCTAGTCACTAGTGCTAGGTTGAAAAACAGCATCATCAGCAGTGAATCTGTTAGTGAGATGCTTATTTCACAGAAGTTCTCTAGCACTGTTAGCAAGCCCCAGGCTTTGAGCTGGAGATATCACCATGCCTCACTGCTGGTGCACGTGTCCAGAGGATCCCAAACTGGACAGCCAGGAGAAGCAGTGCTTCCTGCAATTGAGCAGGCACGCACCCAGCAGCACTGCAGGGGATGAGCACGCTCTGTTGATGGACTGGCTGCATTCCCAGCCCCATTGATGTGCACGCATCCCAGGGGACTCTGTGGGGCGCCAAGCTTGTGGCTGTCCACATCCTGCTGGCTTTGAGGCAGGGATGGGGCTGAGGCCTGGCCGTGCTCCCCTTTCTTCACGTTAGAACAATCTAATTTGGTCATATCCTAAGAACTGCAGGGCCTGTCTTTCGTTCTGCACGTGGGATGGGAAGGTAAAAATTGATTGGGGGTGAGAGGAGGAGAGGGGACAGTTCTCAGGAGGATTATAGATCATTTTCCTGCTTCACTTTTTCCTGAAATCTTAGATACACAGAGAGGGTGGGGGAATCTGGCTCATGCTAGCAGATCTTCGGGGATGATGGCTTTCTCATGTGTTTGTTTACAGTGGAAAATTCACATCGTGTCTTGCTCTGCCTTTAAAGTGCTGACTTAATTTCTTATTTCATTATTTTTTTTAAGGGAATGTGGGAATGATTTCTGTATTCCTCATTCATTTTCAAGATTCTCTAAGTGAAATTCCCCAGCACTTTGTGTCTGTGTGTGTGAACTCAAGATGCAAACCTTCATCTCTGGTGTCTTGGGAGAAACCAAACAGGGACCATTGAGAAGCAGCCAGGCCTGTGCCATGGCTACAGGGTGCTGTGTGCCCATCCCCTTCATGCTCAGATTTTGGGTTGCTGTGATCCTGGGAATGCAACCATTTGGGCCCTGAGTCACATCAGTTATGGATGGCAACTGTCTGTGACCTTTGGGCTTCATGGGCTTCAGCACGTGGTGCTTTTCCTTCACTAGTTGGGCTGGGCTAGGCAGGCAGAATGTCCTTTTAATGTTTGCAATATGTTTCGAAAGGAAAACGAAGAAGGAAAGAAAACCTTCTGTTATCTGTGATCTTAAGTTGTTAGATCATCTTCATGGGGAAGGTTTAACCTCTGGGAGCACCTTGCTTCCTCCCACACAGAGCAGGGAGCTGCTGCTGCCTTATCCTGTCCCCTCACCTTTGCTGTGGAAGGCAGAAGAATGCAATGGGCTTTGTGATGATGGCTGCTCAATTGGGGCACATCTTCCTGTCCTGATAGGATTTATGGGAATTGTGAATTTGTCACATCCTTTAGGGTGCACACACCAAAGAGAATTCATCCAGCCCTGACCCAATAAACATCTCAGTAACTGGCAGTGCTCTTGTGTAGGTCCAGGTCTACTTTAACCAGACAAAATGCTTTCTGAAGGTGGAAGAAAATAAACTACAGGTATCAACTGGTAAATTTGCCACGTGCTTCCAAACCAGCAGCTTCTCAGTAATTAATATAAAACAAACACCTTGGCTGTACGAAGATTTAACTCACTCTTGCTTGTTGTTGTAACTGGAAGGGTAGCATTCAGTATGTTAACACCCATCGATGTGTGCTTAACTTCTAAGCCATGTGAAGGTTCTGTTGGATGTCTTTAAGTGCGGTGAGACACTTGAATATTTCACATTAAATATACACCTAGGCCTTCGTATGGCTGCCCTGTATTTTATTTTTTACATATTAATTACATGTAGCTGTTATTACAAGCATTAATTATTCCTTGCAGAAAGGCTGCTTCTGCCCTGAGCTCTGACTAAACTGTGAGGAGCTCCAACATTCTTTGATGCTTTCTTGTTTGAATGTTTTAAACAATTTTTAAGGCAGTTTTTCCATTTGGATTGCCAGCAGAAGAGATTGAGAAACCACAAGAGAAAAACACATTTTTCCTGTATTTAAAAAGAAAATAACAAGTTTAGTCATAGCTTGATGTTCTTTGTACTGAGCTGTCTGAAAATACAGGCTCTCTGCAGGTAATTATTGATTGTTAATGTATTTTCATTTAGATTGAATTTTCGTAAGGAGAGAACTATCTTCAGCACTTGGAGTCATTTCCCTGTAGTGTTATTCCTTTTAGAAACAGTGGAAAGTAATGGGGTGAGGTGTGATCTTTGAGGCCATCAATTCCATCCTGTCCTCATGTAGGATCAGTTGTGCTTAAGTCATTCCCAGCTGTGTTTGGCTGATCATTAGAGTTCCTGCAACCAGCAAAGCAAGATTACAAAAAAAGTGGAAAGTAGTAGCATGTCTTCTCTTTACTGTTCTCTGTTAGCTATGGCAGGAGGAGAAACATCAGTGGAGACATCCAAAGGGGGCATCCAGATGCCATTTATTATGGTTGGGATCTAAAACCTTTGTATTCTGTGATAGGGTCTTGAGTGAGAATTGTTTTCTCCCCTTGAATCTGGAAGTTGTAAGTTTGCTGCTATTTAAGAAGTTGCTACCGGTGTGGCAGCAGGAAATTCATGGATGTGACTAATTCAGCCTTGTTCAGAAGTATTTCATGTTTGATAGCTGTAAATATAAGTCTGACGTGACAAAGAGAAAAGGTCTTTGAGAAACTTTGGTCATTTGAAGTCTGCAAAACACAAATGCAACATGATGTGTGATCTGCAGAATGGACGTTAACAGTGTTTTGGTCCTGGATTTATTACCATGCTTTCCTAACTCAGCTGGCAGATGGAGTTACTAGTAGATAAAGAACCACAGGTAAGCCATCAGGAGGAGCTGTTGCTGTGGATGGTGTTTCCTTCTCCAGCACTCAGCCTCCTGGAGCTCGGAGGGCTTCTTCCCTAGGAGCAGAGCTTGCTTCTGGGTTGGAGGATCCTGGCAAGTTAATTAGTAAGAAAACAAAGCTACAGAATGAATAAGGAACTGAAATGGCAGCTGGCTCCCACTTTTTTCATCCTGAGCCCAACTCCATAAATCCATTTGATATCCACATCATTTCTATTCCCACTTTTACTCTAATCTGTAGTTGAATAGCTATAGCTTGGGTATACAGAACGCCGTGAGGTGACCATGCAGGCTGTGTGGCTCTGCAGGCTGGGACTTTGGTTCTGCTGGTGACAAGCAGCTCTGCTGGCCAGTCGGAGGAAAAAGGACAGATAGACCTTCATCTTCTATTACTCAGTACAATTACAGCAGTCCCTGTGGCTGCGTAACCTTTAGCTTCATGTGAAGTAGCCCTCTAGAAAGGTTTTTTCCATACTGCTTCTAAGAGATGGTGTTGTTTCCTTTGGTACTTTTGTTGCTCCCTCAGTCTGGAATCTGTGATTTGGGAATGGTTAAACTGCATGTCACAGGCATGATAGCTGGTAGGCAAGGACTGAGGTCGTGTACTGGTGTAACGAGCCACTGCAGTGTGTGCCTGGTGTGTTCCTGCAAGCAGATTGCCAGCTCCTCAATGCATGTCCTGCATGGCTTTGAAATATCAATGGCATGAATTGTTTTCATTCTTTGCTTCTTTTTATTGATGTGAAACAAATGTTTCCACTGTTGGCAGCATCAGTGATGAAGGCTTCAGTAGCTCCAGCACTGAAGATGTACCTGACCCAAACTCAAGCACGTTGCCTTCCAAGGGGACAGGACAGTGCAGTATCATACAAGAAGATGGAAGAGATACGGGCTCTGATGCCTTACAGCAAGCTGCAGAAGCAAGGGAGAGATGTCTGCCTATCTCAGTGCCTGCAGAGGGCTGTTTGGAGGATGTCACAGCAGACCTTGCAAGCAGCAGTGATGTATTGCCAACCTCAAACTGCAATGAAGCAAAGAATGACAAAGAGGAGGGAACAGCACACGGTGTTTCTGAGGACAGAGGCCCCAAATGTGACCCCGATGCACCTGCTGCTCTGAGAACTGGTGGGAATGATCCTGGGAAGCCCAGCCCTCCTGCAGAGCCTACAGAGGCACGTTTGAGGGAGTCGAGGACCCCGTTGCAGAGTGAGCAGCTGGGGGGCAGGGGGCAGCTGCAGGTCAGCATCTCCCCCCAGGGTGCAGGAGCAGGGGATTATTTTCCTGCCCAGAAGGCTGAACAGGAGCTGGGATTTTGGGAAGTAGGTCAGGCACAAGCTGTAGTGCAGCAAGGTAGACTGAACACAGATGGTGAAGATGGTCTGCTAATGAGAAAGGAAACCTTAATCCCAAATTACCCACCAACAGGAGCAGTTGTAAATGCTGCAAGACCTGAGACCAGGGAGGTCTACAGCCTGCAGGTGGGGGCTGTAATGACAGGAAATGAGGTAACCTCAGCCCAAAGACAAGGAGCACCACCAGCAGCTTGCCCTTTAGTGCCAGAGCTGCCTTTTGACCCCCCAGATCTTCTCCCCGTGCCAAAGCTGGAAGAACCTTTCAGGGAATGTATGCCTGCAAACAACTACCAACATCCAATGAGAAGTGAAGCGGTGGGAACAGCCTCTGAGAAAGATGAAGCCATTTCTCAAAGAGAGCTTCCAAAGGAGGATGAGCTTGTTAGTGCTGAGCCTTCATCGTTTAAGCAAGGGGAAGAGCAAAAATCAGCTGTCAGAACTGAAAGCCAAAAAGATGAAGCCAGTAGCAATGAAATCATAAAAGCTGATGTGTCTGGAGAGAGGTCTATGCTTTCTGAAACAGAGAGTGTTACCAGTCCCACTGAGGACAATTCCCTGGTAGATAACAGATTAGTGTTGGAAGAATATGCATTAAGAGGTTCTCTGAGCAGATCTATGGAAATGAATCGAAAGAGAACTGAATCAGTGAACCTAACAGGAGAGCAAAACACAACACGAGCAGAGGAGGCACGAGCAGACAGTGGGTTACCTGCGGGGTCAGATTTGGCAGAAAGACAACTGCTGAGCTCCCTTGGCATCCACAACGAGGATGCAAGAGAAATCCACCTGGGACAAAGCCCTGAAGCACCCAGTCCTTGTGCTAAGGCTGCAGCAGGTGAGCTGAAGGAAGGAGCTGTGGGAAAGCCCCTAAATGTAAGGGGTGACTTGGAATCCCTTGAAGACCACTCACAGTCTCTTGGCTGTAGAGCTGAACAGCAGCAGGGTGGAGGGAAAGCAGCCACCTCAAGTGCCCTGGAGAGCAGGGACAGCTTTGTGCTGTGCCCGAGGGCACAGTGCCTGCTGGGCTCTGCTTGCTGCCATACTAAGGATACAGCTCCAGGGCAGCCAGGCCGTCATGAGGCTGAGGAGGTTTGTTCAGCTGGTGCACACAGTTCACTGCTCCTCCACCCTGAGAACAATGGCATTATGCTGAGTGGGCAGGGTGAAGCCTGGGAAAAGGCTCTTGCTGGAGAAGCTGTGTTAGGGATTGACTGCCAAACAGGCAGTCAAGGACAGCCCGAAAGCAGCAGCAAGGCTGGAGGAAGTATGGAAACATCCACATCAAAGCCTGAACTTCAAGGCTCAAATGAGGTGGCAGAGATGGGAGGCTGTGCTGTGGGATACGCTGAGGAGCGAGTGGCTGCTGCTGGGCATGGTGAGGAGCATGGAGAGATGCAGCATGGCTCTGAGGGGAGCACAGAGCTGGCATCAGGCACCGAGTGCCAAGCTGCTGTGCTGATGCCAGCTTGGCAGGAGCAAGTGGCTGCAGAAAGTCAATGCAATGCACAAATGACCACTGCAGAAACTTTGCCAACTGAAGTTGGTACAGCAGAGCCTGTTCCTTGTCTGGCTTGTGTGGAAGGAGGGAGTGACAGCATCGAGGGGAGCAAACACCTTTCTGTGAGTAACAAGAAGAGCTCTTTGGAGTGCAGTTTGGAAGACCTATCTGAGCGTGATGAGCACAGCCCTTCAGAGACCCTGCAGGACAGTCCTGGAGATCCGCAAGCAAATGCAGATGTTCTGGCTGCTCTTCCACAAGTGGAACAGGTAGAGAAATTGCTGACTTCAAACCCAGGACTCAAACACCAGGCACACCAAAGTGCACTGATGACTGCCACGAGAGCGGATGAGCAGGAACACAAAGATGGGCCTCTAAACGTTGAGCAGCTTTTGGAACTAACGGATCCCAGCAATGCATCAGAAATGCCTCCACACATGAATAAAGGAGCTCTGCTGGGTCCTGCAGAATTCCATTGTGGCTCCAGCACAGCAGAAGGAGAGGAGGAAGATGAGAGCAGTGCTGAGATATTGGAGGGTGTGTGCAGCAGCAAACACCTGCAAAACACTTCTGGTGTGACCGTGCTTAATTTGCAAAATTGCACTGAGCAAAACAAAACTGATCTCAGGGCAGAAGAAAGCTGCTGCAGTAAGCAGAACTCAAACAAGCCCAAGCAGGGCAATAATTCTTTGATCCCAGCTAGTCAGCATGAGGAAGCATGTCGGAATGATACGATTTCTAAAGAATCTGACAAGAACGAAGGGCCAGTCAGCGTCTGCGGGATGAAAGGCAGCGCTGGGGAGAGCCACTCTGCTGCTGTAGATGCTCTTCCAGGAATGCAGCATTCAGCAAGTGCCGTTAACGTACAGCAGGCTTTGCCCAGTAATCCTGAAATAGCATCTACTTCTGATAGTGCTGGGAGAAGTGATCCTCAAATGGCCAGCTCAGGAATTCAAGGGGAAATGTGGTTGGCAAAAAGCTCAGAAGAAATGGAGGGTGTGAGTGCTGCTGGGGGCCTCCCCCAGAGGGGTGGGATTATGGAGGTGAGTGTGGAGGATGATGCTGGAGTTGAAGAAATGAGCAAGATGGAAAGTGCCAAAGGTCTGGGGGCAAAAGGGTGTCCTTCACTGCCCCAGGCACATGGTGAAGTGATTCCTGCTGCTAAGTCCCATAAATCCAGCTGCATGCAACAGGCATCAGAGGAGCCTGGTTTGTGTCAAGCCAATTTTACAGCCCCCTCTGCACTGACCTCTGCATTCCATCATCTCAGCCAGCAAGCTGGAAGCAATGCGGACAGTGGTACTGAAGGGGAATCATTAAATAACAAGCTGGAAGCTATAGAGTTCCAGAACACACAAAGTAATACTCACGGGCAGATTGCTGCAGGTCTTCAGGTGTCCTTGCAATCACCTGGAGTAGGCACAGGGAAAGCAGCAAAGGCAGAAAACAGCTCTGCAGGGGGCCTGGGTGGGGATGGAGAAGGGGCTCAAGAGCAGGGAGTTCAAGGTGATGGAGACACACAGACTTTAAATGTGGGGCAGAGTGCTGGAAACTTATCACAGTTTAATGCTGAGAAGCTGAAGAAAGAGCTATCTGCAATTAAATCCAAAGAAACAAAAGGTGATGTAAACTTCAAAGAACAGCAGAGTGACAGCTCGGCAGAGCTTCTGCTCGCAGCCCCTGCTCTGGAAGGGAAGTTGCTGAGCCTTTCATCTGCTGGTAAACAGGGAAGCTGTAATGAGGAAATTGCAACCCGTATCTGCGCAGATGACAAGTACGGTGAGATCTTAGAGAAAGCTGGGAATGCAGAGCTAGGGGAAGGGGTTTTAAAGGAGAATAAGAACAGAAGGAGGGCAGAGAGCGGTGCTCGCAAGCAGCCTGCGGAGAGCCCTGCAAAGGAGCATGAGGCTGTGCCGTGCCTCTCGCTGGGCTCCAGCCTGCCGGACTTCAGGGAGCACATCAGCCAGATATTCAGGCAAACAGTCTGCAGCACGCTGAGCACCGAGTTACCCCAGCTGCCAGCAGAAAGCCATGCAGGCTGCATGCAGAGCCCAACGACTGAAGGCACGGTGCAACCATGTGGTGCTGGGAACTTCTTGGGGTCGGTCGAGGTGGGCACAGTATCCAAGAGCCCCTTGCAGGCAGAAGAACTGGAGCTGCCTTTAGCTCTGTGCACGGCTCCTGGATCTCTGCAGCAGGACACAGTGGCAGGGCTGCAAGGAGAGGAAAGCAGGCAGCCTGGTCTAGGCGAGGTTCCCTGCTTGGAGGGCTCTGCACATGCTGCGTGCACACCGGAGAACCTGCAAAAGGCAAATGCTGAGTATCTAAAGAGCAGTGGGATGGAAGGAGAGGCAGGGCTGCGTGCAGGTGGTGTGGAGCCTGCGTCGCTAATGGGCTTAGAGGAGAAGAAGCATGGACCGGCTGCATCTGATGGGGAAGCAGCTGAGAACTTCCATTTGGAGGAGAAGCAACAGCCCAGCACAGCCAGCATCCCGACAGCAGAGGACTCAGAGGATGCTGCTCCAACAGAGAGCTCAATGACAGAGCGCAGCACCAAGCCACCTGAGGAGGGTGTGAGCTGTCACAGTGAGCAGTGCCTAGGTCCTGAGCCAAGAGAAGAGGAGAATGGGTGCAGTGATCTGGACACCGCCACAAGCATCTCTGATGTGGCAGCTTCAGCCCTTCTCCCAGGAGGGTCTTACAGCTGTGAAAAACTGCCAGACAATGTTAGCATGTCACCTGGGGAAATTCAGGAGTCAGGCACCCAGAGCAATTTTATGCATGACGTTGAGGCACAGAGTGACACACGGGTGATGCTGGATGATCCAGGAAACAGGGAATGCATGGGAACATCAGAAGGTCCACAGGAGGAGAGAGGAGCCATGCGTGAATTAATGGATTACTTAAAAAATGAAGCCAGCCAGGATGGCTGTATGCACACCAACTCCCAGCTGGGATCCAGTGCTGAGATGGAGGGAGACGTACAAGAGAACAGTGACACAGTGCTGAGCTCAGCAGAGGCAGCCACCGGAAAACCTGGAGCCATTCCTGAGATGGGCACTGAAAAACCTGGGGATATCCCTGAAACAGGCACTGAAAGACCTGGGGACAACTCTGAGACAGGCACAGCAAGGATGCTGGTCACTGCTGAAGGTGGCTCGGTGTTAAGCAGCAGTACTGGGGAGCAGGAGGCAGAGCTGCATGGAGACTGCTCCACAGCCACCGCTGGGATGGAGCAGGGAGAGTGCTCCCCATGCGCAGGCTTTGCTGGTGCTGATGTTCATCTGAGAGGGACAGACCTGGGGCATGAAGGCTCACTGCAGGACACCCAAAGGATGCTGTCCCCGCTTGCGTTCCAGGAGCCTGAGACGCTCGACCTCAGCACGCTTCGAGACACGGCTGTGGCAGGGCTGCCCACTGACAGGTACTGTATTTTAAATTGCTGCGTGACACGGTTGTCAGGTCCCTGGTGCTCAGTAGATGAATGTCAGAAGTGGACTTGCAATGTGGGCAAGGACACTCACTGAGCTCTGAGATTCTATCTGAATCCATCTAAATGTGAACTCAGCAGGAGAGAACTGCAGTCGTGTGTATGGTCTGGGTGTGATGGGTGTCCCACAGCCTGAGGAGGGCTCTTCCCATTGTCCCACTGCTGCCCCAGTTCCCTGCCCTCATCTGCATGGATGTGTTTGTGCTTCCAGCGTTCACATCTCATAGCCTGAAGCCAGGCACCAAACAGCACTTCCCAGCCTGAAGTGAGCATGCTTTTGCCTGAGTTTTGGTGACCCAGTTACATGAGACCTGCAGCACACTAAAAACAAGCCTGAGTACAGCCCAATTACTTGCAGTTAGCTGTCAGGCCACCCTCTCATCCTGCTGTATGCTGGCATTCCACTGACAGTGCCTTTGATCACTGCATTATTCAGTGTTTCTAATGATATAGAGTTGTTTCAGACGTGAATTCCTAGCTGGGACTTGTGGAGTGCTGTGGAAATGTAACCACCTCCAACTTACCACTTCTTGCCCAGAGAGGTGGTGGTACCCATCCCTGCAAACACCCGGGATGAGGGAATGGGTGATGAGCACCTGATGGGGCTGTAGGTGTCCCTGTGCATTGCAGGGGGGCTGGACCAGATGGCCTTTAAAGGGCCTTTCCAACTCAATTCTATGAAAACACAGTGAGGGGTTCCTCCTGAGCCAGGGATGCAGACTGAATAGGATCTGGGTTTACAAGCAAAATGTGCTTTAAAAGAGCATTACCAGTGCTGGAAGCCTGAGCTATGTGACTTTCTCTTTAGGCTCTGCCTGTAAAGTAACAATGAAATTAGAGCAGGTATTTCTCTCCGGATCCTTTCCTCTTTTTACATTTCCCTTTATGTGATGGAAGGCTTCCCAGCCCCATAGTGTTGATGTTACCCAACTGCTTGCTGGCACAGCCAGGTTCAGGAGCCTTACCAGGCTGATACATGCATGTGCCTAAGCATGCGCCTTCCACCAGGGCGGGTGCCATTCTTTAAACAAATACCTGTGGCAGGCAGGGTGGGGCTCTGGAAACAGCTGCTGGCAATTCATAGAGTGGTTGCTTCATACTTGTGTAAGCTCCAGGAATGCATCATCACCTGTTCCTGCAGCGGGAGGGTCGGTGCCAGCAGCAGCTGCTGCTCTGGGGCTGTGGCTGTGAGTGGGGCCACGTGGGACGCAGGGCATGCTGCAGCTCCTGGGGCTTGGGTGCTGGGGATTCACAGGTAGAGGGGAAGCTCTGCTCCTGGTCAGGCATGGCTCTTAGAGGAATGTTCATTTACAGTAATGCAGGTGAGAAGCAGAATGTGTTGGTTCAGCTGAGCTCGGCATGCTGTCTGCTTTGCTTTCACTCTGAGCTGGTTTTGAAGAGCTGAATTTAAATCATGCTCTCCAGGCACAGTGCTTCTAGTCTCAGAGTTTCCAGTTGTTTATTTGCCCTCTAATCATTGAAGGGGATATACCACTGTAGTCATGCAAAAAAGGAGCGTGTTGCTAAGAGCTGAATGCAGGGATTTGGGCCTGATGAAAGAAGTCCAGGGAGAAAGAACACTTCTATCCCACTCAAAAACAAATTCAGTTTGGAGATGAGGAATAACATAATCTCTGAAAGAGTGGTGATGCAGTGGTACAGCTGCCCAGGGAGTGTTGGGGTCACTGTCTCTGGAGGTGTTCCAGAGCTGTGGAAATGTGACACTGAGGGATGTGGGCATGGTGGAAATTGGTCAGGATTGGACTTGGGGATCCTAGAGGTCTTTTGCAACATTAATGATTCTATGATTCTATTAAATAAATAGAATAGTAAGAAGTACATCACATTTAGGAGAAGCAAACATTATATTCTGATTTACTCTAGGGCTGTTTTTCCCATCTCTACTGCTTCTGTGCAGCGTGGGGCTGCAGGGGTGCACCCTTACAAGACCCCTCATGTTGAAATCGTGCTGAGCTGCAGAGTTGTGCTCTGACTCTTTAATCCTCGTTAGGATTTCTTCTTGTAGGAAAGAGGAATTACTTCTGCTGGCTGTGTGCTCTCATGAGGATCAGCCCAAAGTGTTCTTGCCCCACCTGCTGAAGCAGCGGGACAATGGTGGGCAAATGGAAAGAGGCAATAGTATGACACCATTCCTTTCAAATCTTCAGCAAGAAGGAAAATGATTTCTGGAAAGAGGCTGTGACAGGAGCATTGACCACGTTTTCCTTTGGAAGGTCCCTTACCGCTGTTCCCCTTCCTTGTCTGAGTCGTACTTGGGAAAGAACAAGACCTGTTTGTTTACCTCTTACTCATGTCTGCTCCATATACTTCTTCATTCCTGTATGAGGAAAGAAAAGAGGTCTGCCTGTGTCAGGAGAGCCTTTATACCTCGTGCCACTGACGTGTATCTGCTTGCATTCTATGGGTATGGCAGGTGTTGAGCAGAGCCTGGATCCAACCAGCAAACGATAGCGAAATCTTGGAGATGTTTAGAGATGGTGTGGTGTTTCCTGATGACTTTCTGTAACTCTGCCAGCTAGTGCATGCAAAATGGAAACAGTGCTGAGGGAGTTTTTTGTAGCACTTCTTACTGCAGCAGTCCATGGAGGGTTCTGCTGTGTTGGCTGACTTCTCTAAGCAATATTCTCATGCGGAAAGTGCATTACAGCAATTGGCATCAGCAAAGCAACTGGAAAAATGTTCAGTGTTCTATGTGTGCATCAGATCTCTAAAGTTGGTCCAGACGTACTTTTGGATGGTCTGCGTGCTTTGTTCTTGCCATCAGAAATTGGTGAGTTCAATAGGTATGAAAGGAATGTGCGCTCCTTCGTAAACACTGACTTGGTCATTTTTATCTGCATAACAAATATAGCATTAAATACTTTAACAGCCTTGCTGGAGGAGGGAAGAGGAATGTAGAACTGCTTTCCAGATCAGTCAGCGCTAATGCTTTGTGTCGTTAGCATCTGAACGCAAGATTGTGGAGCTAAAAGAACACTGTTCTCAAAATAGTGATGATCTATCCTTCTTCCTTTTCTTTCCTTCCCATCCCTTCTTCGCTTACTTTTTTTAGCTTCAAAGTGAACTTACCTGTGCAGCATCTCCAGACCACAAAACAAAGGGAAAAACAGCTGCAGACAATTTACACATGAATAAAACGCACAGCTAGTAAGATCCTTCCCCTCTCTTTCCTGCCCTTCTTCCTGGCCTATTTGCATCTGAATTCTGTTTTCTTCCCACCTCACTGTCCTCATCATCCTCAGGAGTGGTGCAGCACAGAGCTCTGCCTGCAGCCCTTGGCTAGCTGGTGAGTTCTGTGGGATTTCTGGCCGCATGCAGGCGGTGGGATGGAGCCTATGATTGGTAATGTGGGGAATTTTCTACTAAAGGAAGAATAACATCATGGTAACTTCACCCTTGCCCAATGGGCTTTCTAAGGAATCAAAGGGAGTTTTGCCACCTCCTCTAGCAGATGGCTCTGACCTCATGGAGAGCCACTTTAGGCAATGGGAAGGGCAAAGTATTTATAAAATGTGATTTGACAGCATGCCCAGTTGTACTCAGAGCACCTTCCAGTGAAAAGGAGGACTGTGATACCCTGCTGTTGCTTTGGGGTTTAATTAGAGTGCATGCCTCTGCTAAACTGCAGCGGTAAGCAATCTCTGGCCTCGCCAAACTGCAGGCACTTGTTGTTCTATTGAAAACCTTCTGTAACACTGAGAACCTTTATCACACGTTGGTAAGGTATGTACTGACACGTGTGACAGATGAGCTGTCCTTTTTCAAGCATTCTTCCGTGCTTCTTCAGAAATGAAATGTATTCAATCAAACCCAGGCATTTGCTAAACAAATCCAACAAGGATGCTGTGATGTTTTGCCCAACGTCTTGCACAGGCAGCTTAGTGCTCATTTTTTGTCATCTTTTCTCATTATGTTAAAAATTACTTTTGGATTACCTTTTTTTTTTTTTTTTCTGTTTAAGCTTTCCCCAGATGTATTTTTCAACCCTGCTTCTTCCAAGCAAGCCATTTTCCCAAAATTGTTTTTATATCTCCCACATATCTCCACATTTTCTGTATTTCAACTCTTATCTTCTGGCTTCTTGCAAAATTGGGTGCCGTGGAGTGAGTCCTACTGTCCCCGTTCCTAATAGAATATGCAAAGTAGGATTAGTTCCAGCTTTGAACCCTGTGGAGGGCAGCTCTGAAAACAGCAATTACAGACACAAGCATATTCTCCATGACTTGGATGTGGCTTCCTTCCAGGTTTTCTGCATCTTGGCATACTTGCACGGCATTACTGCTTCCCAGCAAAGACTCCTCTGGAGCTGTCTGAAGAGACAGAACCCCAGTGCTTCTCTCATCCTGTATGCTTTTCCTCCATCTTTTTTTTTTTTTTTTCCTTACTTGAACTCTACACATCTTAAGAGCTCCTGTAGGTAAAAAGCTTTTTGAACAGCAAAAGCTCAAGTATATAAAGTGTTGAGATTTACGGTTCTGGAATGAATGAGGCAAGCAGCCTTGTGCAGGCTTTGTTTCCAAATCTGAATGGCCCTGACAGTCAGTTGTTTGTTGTCATGATGTAGCAAGGATAACAGAGTTGGCTTTAGATGATGTTTGCTTTAATATCACCACGCCTATACGTAGACTCAAGATGTAACACAGCAGTTAAAAATGTGAGGATTGGTGAGTGGGGTGTGTGGAAAGCATGGCGTTTCTTGTGGTCTGTTTGCACTCTGCTCATCTGCATACACCTCAACTACTATCCTACAGGTTAATTCTTAAACTAGAGTCCACTTGACCTTTGGGAAACTCTCCTTGAATGACAGGAAGTGTAGAAACCGTAATTGCTCCAATCAAAGGATTCATTGCTCCAGGTTCTGTGATGCTGGGTGGCAAGTTGGGTGTGTTGTCCTTGGTGGGTGGTGCACTGGA